ACATATTTTGATGCGACTCCTGGAATTCAAGTACATCTCACTTCGCAATTTTTTTCCTCTCGCTTTTCCAACTCAAATTACTCTTCTAAACAAGCTGATGTTAAGATCAATGTTCTGTATAAAAACGATTATTGCAAAATTAACATAGAATTTCTCTGTCAGACTTTCAAAAGGTCCTACGAATAGGAATTCTTGACGAGGTTTTTGTTTTGCGCAGGTATTTCACTGCTTGAAGCCGGCGACAAAGGGTGGCGGTGAGACGATTTTGGTTGATGGTTTCGCAGTTGCTGAGCAAATTCGATCGCAAAACGTCGCAGATTTTGATTTGTTGACAACAGCACCAATTGAGCATCATTACGTCGAAGGTGGAAGCAGTCCATCGAATGCGAAAATTTATTCACGCTGCTGTAATAAACCTGTTATTGAGATCGACCGTGAAGGAATGCTCAAACAAATAAGGTTCATGACAAGCGCTTGGAATTAAAGTGTTTCGTCTGGACTGTTATTACTAAATTAGACTGTTCCGCTCTGAAGTGAGCCTCAGCTTAAGCTTCAGCGCCCTTTTGTTCAGTGAGCATGAGAGAAAATGTGTGTGGGAGTGCAAACATTGTAGAACTAATTTTTTTACAGATATAATCCATACGATCGAGCACCAATGAGGATCACATCAACTGATGATATAATCAAATTCTATAAGGTATCTTCTTTATCGCGCTACTTCATTTTCAGTTCAGACAAATGTTAGTCTCCTGCTGAGTCAAAAATACGATAATACGCCGATTATGAACATTTCACTTCGAAACGATACATTTTTGTTCTAATTCGTCGGCATAATGATTTTTTCCGCTGTTTTGAAGGCTTATGAGCGATTATCGAAGTTGGTACATGATACTAAAAATCAACTCGAAATATCTTTGAAACCTGGAAACGTGATTTTTATCGATAATTTTCGAGTACTTCATGCACGGAAAGCGTTTCAGGTGGGTTAAGTAATTTCATTCTTCTCTCACTAAAATGTTTCACTTTGACGACTTGTTAGAGTGAGAGATTGAAAAACTAGAATTTTCGGATATACTTACTGAAGTTTCACAATATTTGTTAAACCATCCAATTCGTTGTCAGTAAGAGACGTTTGATGTTTGCAAATGTGACTTAGAAAAGCTCGAGACAGAACCTGAGGAGCTATCGATCCGTTCACTGTTCATTTGATTGAAACACTTGAAAATTGGCCTATTGCCTGTCAATAGTGACACTTCGAAAGTTTGGCATATCTTACGACATTCTGCAATTTCGCATTCTTTCTCAGTCTCAACT